CTTGCCTCTGGTTAGCAGGCAATGAAGGGAAATGGAAAACAGCATAGAAGCTACTTTGGTAGGGTTTAGGGTTTGGGGTTTAGGGTAGACAGTGCATGCCTAAACCTTGAACCCTGAACCTTAGACATTGGGTACTGCCCCCACCCAGTAACAGTCCATATTAGGGGTCCTATTAACGGCTATATATAACCATATCGTAATTATTATCCAGCTGTTACTGAGGGGGGGCAGTACCCAACCTAGACACAGTATTTTCATAATGGCCTCTAAAAAGTGGAGATTAAACATGAGCATGACAATGAAATGAAGCTAGTGTTATACAGGGACTATATAGGTATACATAGGGGAATGGAAAAGACATTGGAAACTAGCATAATTCATTGGGGATTATGTAAAAAATCATCATATAAAGGAACTCTATAAAAGAGACCCTGTCCTTTTGAAACCCCGATCTTTTAATCTGAGGGTAATGAGGGCTTCTTGGGCCAAATCATGATTACCTTGCGCGAGCAGATTCCTATCCGCATGCTGGGGCAAAGAATCGAAGTGGAGAAGTGGCTGCCATTTTCTAGAAAGCTGGCATGTACTATGGTAATGTAGTCATACACTCTGTAGTATAGCAACATAATGTCATCTGCCCGGTTCCTCCCTGGCAGCCTAGGTCCCAAGCCCCGGACCTGAGTCCCGGCTTTTAGCACCATGAAGCCGCAGAACTAAAAAAACTCAAAGCCCGAAGCGCGATGGTCAAACCCTGATCCCCAAATCCTGTTGGCAGAGGTCCAGGAAAAAGACTTTGAGGGCTATGGTTTAGGTTTTAGGGATTAGGGTTAAGCTTTCTAATCCCTGAAACGGGGACACTTTCAGGTTTGTGACTTCGGGGTGGCGAAGTTCCAAGCACCTGGGCGCCAGCGGAGCTCTTTAATGTAAGTAAAGGGCTAGGTAGGGCTTTGGGCTGGGGGTTGAGAGTGTGGGGATTTCAGGTTTGGGTTTTGATTAGGATGTAGGTTTGAAGTTTATGGATCGTACTTAAAGTGTTGGTTTGAGTTTGGGATAGAAGGTTAGGATTCGGGGAATGACATTGAGGCTCTTTCGCCCCCCTGTTTGGCGTCCGTATGATGATCCCAAAGCCCTGCCCTCATCATCCTAAAGGGGGTTAGCCGGGGGTGATAAGTGAATCCATCAACATTTCTTTGATGACAGTTTTCGAGACATCCAGCTTAACATGAGCTATAGTCGAAATTCCTGAAAGGGGGTTATGTAGGTGATTATATAGGGGACTACTACAGGGGTTATTCAGGGGGATACTAGGAGTTTAGACTATAGCTAACATAAGTCATGCAGCCTTCCGAATCAGTTTACATACCGGCACTTGAGAAGCTGAACTGTATTGTTGATGGATGATGTCTTGCACTACCTAACGTCCGGAAGGTACGAAAATGTTGGGGTTCACGGTGGTCTGTAGTTTCCTTCATCCACAGTATCTACTTCGGCTTTGCATTCTTCCCTGCTGAGTGGCTGTTGCTTCGAACCACTGAGCCGCCGGGACACGCTCCTCACGTTATCTGAGCTATAGTCTAAACTCCTTAAAGGGGATTATATAGGGGATTATGTAGGGGACTACTATAGGGGTTATCCGAAATCTCATCCTGCGTCTCCGTTCTTGGGCAAGGATACCCTTTTCACAGTATATGTACACATGTGTCTTATAGTAATCTATTCGACTTTTATCGAAAATGTATAGAGTCTATAAGAGAATCTGGATTTTTGTCTGTCAGTATACTTCCCCCAGGCTAACATGCCCAAAAGGGGACCTGCAAAGCCTGCAGGCTTCCTTCAAACCCTAAACCCTAAGCCCTAAACTTATTGGTTCTTAGTAGAGAAAAGGGAAGACAACCCCTATTGAATCCCTATATATCTTACTCCCTACATAATCCCCGCATCATCCCCATATTTTGACCCCTTTATAATCCTATTTATAATCCCTATAGTATATTCCCAGGTTCAGGATGGAGATTGGGGCCAGATGACAAATCAGGACTTGGGTTTGGGGATTAGCTCTCTTGAAAATTGTGAGGTGTTTTAGGGCTGGGAGATTTTAGGGCTTTGGGAGGTTTGGGGGGTAGTTTTTGCCCGAAGTTGTGAGCCCACCTAAGCCCTAAACCCTGTGCGGAATCGGTCTTTTCTCCGGGGGTTTCAAGCCGTTGAAGATGCGCTATCCAGCTCAGCAACCTGCGGTGTGTGTACATCCATTAGTCGTCCTCAGCCTAAACCTTGAACCTTCTCTTGCCGGGTGGTTCTCAAAGTCACTGCAGCATTTCCATACAAGTGTAGGATACTCTTGAGATATGGTGTTTGAAGGGTTTCAGACTGGGCTTCAGAGCCAAGCCCAAAATGGTGCTTGAATGGCCAGTTGCAAATACTTTATGCACACTGTTTTTTGGGAGATTGAGGGAAATTAGCGGAAGAAATTCTTCCCTGGAAGAACGAGGTGGAAGGCGGACCTCTGCCGGGTTTTTCTAATCCTGTATGCCCTTGCAAAGTAGTGCAGTCGTTATCATGCAGGCTGGCAAGCGGCTGGAGAGGACGATCACCCCACCTACTTGCTGTAACCCAAGCCCTAAATCACACATGGCCACCAGATTACCCAGCCAGACTTGAGAATCCGAGCAACAATGGCTTGACTTCATGGTTCTTGAAAGGCATTCTTGTTTGGAGAACCCCCGAAAAAAGCTTGCCCCATGTGAAAAAAATGCAACAGTAATTTCAGAAACTTTCCAACAATGAAGACGCGGCTATAGAAACCCCTCGTGGTCAAAAACATCGTAACTGCTGACAAAGAAGGCGGGGACAAAGCACTGGATGGCTCCGGAAATGTGGACTGGTTCCACCTACGATGAGAAGGCAGCTCTGCAATGAAACCCAGCCGGAATTCTTTCGAGGGATTTTGGAAGCTCTCTTGTGCCCTTACTAAACTCTGAACCCCACACTCGAAGCCTTTAATCCTAAATCCGAAATCTGGGCTCTGTCCTTCAAGGCTGAACTGTGAAGTGGTTCGCGCTCTCAAGGATACGGTTAGAATTGAGGGATCAGCGTGGGCTGCGCAGCATGGGCCAGTATAAGACATTACTAGCAGTATTTACAGGCTTGTAAGTTTTATCAATGTTATTCTTCTTCTTGATATTTTTGTTATTGGCTGGTATTATCAGTATTTATTACTATCATGAGCTTCGCCCCGCAGGGATGGAAACAGCGTTCATAATTCTGGTATTATTACGATAAGTATAAGTAGTATTCTTATTATTGTTACTACGAATATTAAAATGGGTATGAGTATTCTTTTGATGTTATTGCTACTAAGAAGATTACTAAGAGCAGCTTTGAGCTTTGACATTGGATGCTTTTCTGAGATTTTGCTGGCGTTGTTCCTGCAGGTTAGCAGCTTGTTTACAGGGCCCAAAGGGCTGTCAGGGGATTGCGAGGTGTTCTTGCCACTCTTCCCCAAGCTCTTAACCGGATGAAAGCCCTAAAACCCTTAACCCTAAACCCTGAACCCCCTGCAATCCGACGTTCAGTCCTGCTGAAGCTCTGCTTATGCTAGGTTGGAGGGAATGTGGGAATATAATCCTTGTATAATCCCTATATAATCACCATAATCCCTATGGGTTCAGGGTTTAGGGTTAAAATCCGTAGAGAAGATATTCCCTTGTTCCCTACTAACAACCAGCAAGCCAAGCTCAAGGCCCTAAATACCAGGTTTAAGCCGTCTCTCTGGGCCTCCGTTCCACAGGTGGACGTTTTCTCCTATGCCATGGTAATCTATGAGATAATTTGTCGCGAAGTTCCCTTCGAAGAGGAGGACTTCCGTCATCTCTTGTGCTCACACCGGGACATTCTGTAAGCGGCGCCATGAAGGACACTGAAAAGCCTTCAGCCCGAAACCCTAAACCCTAAATAGTAGTTTCCATTTTATTTTCCATTTCCCAAAATAAACCCAATATTATCGCAACATAACCCCTGCCCAGCTGCGTCTCAGTGTTTACTGGGGTTTGCAACGGCTGGGCTTTGCAGGATCAGGATGCCTGGAGATTTACATGAAGTAGGATGACATGATAGGAGTCTGGCGAGTATCTAGGGTTCCTTCGGTACTATTGGTGGTGTCTGTATTTGGTGGTCTGGCTCAATTCGCACATCTGCTACAAGCCCTGATCAAGGTCCGGCTGTCTGATTTCATTTTCGGCTCTGCAACTGTTGGCCTCAAAGCTAACAGCCATATAGGGGAATATCAGGGTTATATAGGTGTATATATAGGGTTTATATAGGGGTAATATAGGGTTATATACTGTTGCGCAGGAGCCGACAGATGTTGGAAAGTACACGGTGGCCGGGATCCGTCCAGACATGGACACTTGGCAAAATGTCTTAGTTGCAAGCGGCCCGTCAACAATGCATCCCATAAACCCTAACGCCTTAACCCTACACACAATAGAGCCTGAACCCTATAAACCCTAAACCCTATAAACACTGTAAACCCTGGATATTGTGTTGGGCCTATGTCTAGACAAAGGCATTTGTGCGTACTTGACCTTCCAGGTGTGTCTCTTGGAGGGTCGCTGGGTTTAGGGTTAGCGCACGGAACATGACTGTGCAAGTAAGTGTAGGCCGGAAGTGTACCGGTCCTGTGGGAAAGTAGGGGATTCTTCCCCATTTCTGCTCAAAACCTCGCAGTTGAAACCGTAGGGCCTTACCACAACCCTACACCTTCAAAGCCCTAAATCCCCAAAACCCTACACCCTCGAAAGCCTAAATCTTCACTCCCCGATCGCAGAAATTCCCTCTCAGACATTCTAAAAGTTGCCGGCGTGAAGGATGCTGTTCCTCCCGACTGTCCTACCGAGCTTCTGGATGTCATGAAGGCGGACCAGAGCAAGTTTAAGGTTTAGGGCTTAGGGTTTGTACATCATTTGGGTTTTCCTCCGGTTTGACCGGGTCTAGGTTAGGAGTCTAGGGCCAAAGTTTATGATGTGTTGTTGGGTAAGAGCTCACAAGTACCGAAGGTACCCCTACATTGAGTAACTCCCAAATAACTTGGAGACCGCCCAAACATCCATCTGTTCCTCCTCTTTTCGGCAACCTGAACCCTAAACTCTAACCTGAATCCCTACGTTGAGTTGCCCAGGCATAAAAGTCGGATGTAAAAACCTGAATCCCCAAATAAACTCTGTCCCCTAAACCCTAGACCCCGAACCCTGAACCGTAAATCCTAAACCTGAGACCCTAAGCCCTATACCCTAAACCCTGAACCCTAGACCCTGAACCTAAGAGTCGCTAAGCCCTAAACCCTCAAGCCCATATACACTTACCATTATTTAGCGTACCCAAATGTCCGTACTTTCTTCAAAAGTTCAAAACCAAAATGACCCCCCCCCCCCAAACCCTAAGTAATGGTAATCACCCCTACACCCTACACCCTAAACCCTAAACCCTCAACCCTGAACCCTAACCCCTGAACCCTAAACCCTAAACCTGAACCCCGAAACTCCTACCTTGCCAGGCTTGCTGGGCGCACGATCCTGCAGCTCGTCCCTCTTTCCCCGTGGTTCTTGAGAAGATCGAGGCTGTCCGTGTCTGAGGCTGGAACGGTTTAGGATTCAGAGGCTTAGGGTTTAAGGTTTAGGTTTCAGGGTTTAAGGGTTCTTCAGGGTTTAGGGTTTAGGGTTGTTGTAGGGCTTGAGGTTGTGACTTAGGGCGAGCAGTCGAGAGTCCAAACTACGAGGCAATAGTCTGCGCACTGGGTTTCCATGCCTGCACAGGTAGCTCACGACATGCGCAAGCCCGATGTTCCTGTGTCACTTGGCTGGAGGATGTAAGGTAGGGTGGTTAAAGTGTTTCTTCTGGTAGAAGTTTAAAATCGAGGGTTCCTTGGGACCTTGGGTGCGTGTATAGTCCCCATGAAGTAGATAGAATATGGGGTATTTGGGAAGCTTACTATACTATACCCAAAGACATATTCTATCTACTTGAGGGGGACTATATATGCTGGGTGCCCAGCTTGGGAGACTTTGAACTTTTCAATCAACATAGTGAAAGAACACTAGTCTACAAGGGACCGCTTCTGAGGTTCCATGTGAGAAGTCGGAACATGATCAGCCATAATCTTTCTAAAGCTCTCTGACGCTGCCCTGCACGATCCTTCTCCAGTTGTATTCTAACATATCCCAAGACCGTAGTAGAACTATTCAGTCTTCTACAAATATGTCTCGGGCGTTCATCAGTGGTTGATTCATGGAATGGCAACCCTAAACCCTAAAACCGTAAGCGTGCTTTTCTTTGACGGTGCTGGTCTCAGACTTGAAGATAGGGTTTGGGGCTCTGGCCCTGTGCTTGCCTAAGCCCTAAGCTGGGTTGCTGTTAAGGAGCTTGAATTGAGGTACTGTAGCCAGGAAAAACTCTTATCTACTATGCCCGAATTCTCCACTGTAAACCGGGAAAGCTTGAAAGTTTGTATTTTCCATTTATTGCTTCTCCATCTCCTGCACTGGGCAATTTTGGGGGGCGCTTTTGAACCTTACACCCCCAACTAACCATGCACCCTGTTAACAATGCACCCTGTTCCCCTAAATAGATGGAGAGATGGGATTATCTTCGGACCCTGAACCCGAAGCAACCCTAGACCCTAGACCCTAAACCCTAGACCCTAAGCCCTAAACCCTAGACCCTAAACCCTAAACCCTAGACCCTAGACCCTAAACCTAGTCAGGTCCACTGCGATCAGCTCCGCTCAACCAGCGGTTTGACCTCATCGGAGCACTCCCAACAGCAAAAATGCGACCTGGTGCACCGGGCCTTATCAGGATTTAGGGTTCAGGGTGTAAGATATAGGGATTTAGGGTTTAGGGTTTGGGGTGTAGGACCCTAGGGTATCAGGATTCCATGAGTGTGTGTTGGATACTGCCCCCCATTCAGTATCAGTTGGATAATAAGAGCCACATGATTATATTTAGACCCTTCCAGTGCTACTACCCCCACTATAGACTGTTGCTGGGTGGGGACAGTGCCGAAGGCGTACGTGCAAATGGTTTCTAGGAGTCCGGGGTTTACAGATAAACATTGACACGCCCAGCCGGTAGTATTGCGTCAAGAACATTGCAATGCTTTGTTGCTGTGCATATGGTAGTTTCCCTAAATAGGTGGGCCCCAATATAGACACCAAAATATTACAGTCCTTATTATGGGGACCCTCAAAAAAGTACCCCGAATTTTCAGAAACCCCCCCATATTGCTATAGTTGCTTTTGCAAAGGCTGTTCCCCACTTCCTGGGCTCAAGCTGTCCAAAGCATACAGTGCCTCCTGCGCCCAGCATGGCGAAGGGAGGCGCCCGTCTGCCAAGGAAAACCTGAAACCTAAACCTCAAGGTCTGTTCGGGTCGATTTGAGGGGGCCTGCTTTGGTATGCTTGAACCAGGTTGTACAAGCATACTTCCACTGTGCATGCCCTAGCTCCCGGTCGTAGAATCACTCGGGCTTAGTAGGGTGTAGGGATCAAGTGGATGACTCTGCAGCATCAATGGGCAGGTGCTTCAGGTCTTCGGTTCAGTCTGTTTGTGTAGGCCTCAGCCACATTCCGTGAGCTTCCAGCATTCAGTCAGCGTAGAGCTCAGCAGCTTTGGGTTGAAACTGAAGGCTGGGCAGCAGCATGCTGTCGTGTGGTGGGTAGAGACAAGTTGGGCTGTTACCGGGATATTACTCCAGTGATAGAGAATCATAAATGCGGATTGTCCTAAATTACTGTCAATACGGGGTCCTATATTTAGGTTCCTATTATAGTACGGGGCCCTATATAAATTTCCCCCATTTTGGGAACAGTAATTTAGGGAAACTTCCAAATGGAACAGAACATGGGACATGAGATGGAACCTTGGGTTCAGAGGAATCGACATCTGCATGAGACAAACCCTCAACCCTAAGCCGGCCGGATAGGCTGCCGTCGCACAGAATTTCGTGTCAAAAAGGCGTGGCCTCCTCTATCTTAGGTAGGAGAGGTGTAGGATGTAGGGTTCAGGGTCACTCGAGTCATTGCAAGATCATTCCCTACAGTCCCTCATAATGCAAGGATGGGCTACGCTACGTACTTTACCCAAGCAATGCCACACAGTCCACAAACAAACAGCTGTGGTTGCTCGCCAGGTGCGGTTCGACTGGCACTCCTACTTATCCTCGCGTCGGTGGGAAGGGCCGTGAGTTGAGTTTCGTGCCCTGCTTTAGAAAGGATGCATATTGTTGAATTTCCAGTGAAAGTAAGAACACGGATTTTTTCCGGCTTCTTGAGCCCCAAAATGAAAAAATATGCATTGGTCGAGTCCTCCGTTCGTCTGCTGGTTTCACGCTCCTGCTTGTAGCCGCAGAACACTCATGAAGCAAAAGTATGCTGCGGCATAGACTGCATTCCTGTGCCCCACTGTAGTGTTCCGACATCATTTCCTGGGTACTCTTCCTCTTTCCGCATGTCAGTACCTGAATCACAGGAGATCCAATCTAGGCAGGGGAGTGTTCTTTGAGCAGCAAGTAGGTTGGCCGTTCTTGGTGCAGGTGGCCTTTCGCTTCCATCGGGAAGGCAATTTCTGTTTGATGCCGTGTTTGTTGCACCTATTTGCACAGATTTGGGGGTGCACGGTGGCTGCAGAGATTTGGCTCATGTCGCAGCTTCCTGAAATGGAGGCTCATACCTTCTGTTGTATATTGTGTAGCTATGCCTATGCCGAGAGATGAAGTGCGCTGGTTCAGGCAGGGCCTTCACGCCCGGGCGGACTGGCTGGGGCTGGAACGGCCAGGCCTGTCGAAAAGTTTTGAAGGTGGAGTTCTGCCGAGCCCAAACCCCCTGAAGGATCCAAAAAATGGAACACCCTAATAATGGCCCCTAGCTTTTCCAGTGTAGTAATAGGTTCATACCAGGGGGGGGGGGTAGATTTTTTGGGATCCTTTAGGGGGTCAGGGAGGCCTGAGGTCGCTTATGAATTGTCACCTACTGGGTTGCTGTTAAGGAATTTAAGTTAAGTTACCATAATGGGTATATTATAGTAAATAATAGGGTTTCCCCAATAGAGTAACTTGAATTAAGTTCCTTAACAGCAACCCAGCCTAGTGCGAAGGTTAAGCCATCAGAAGCACTTTGTACGCTCAGTGGTCAGAGACCCCCAAGCCTCTTTTCCACCGCAACTACGCATCAGCTTTGCGAGGGGCGGGACCCCAACGTGGCGCGCAACGCTGTGGAGGATGTTGCGCTGGTTGCCCAGTCTTCTGCTTTCTGTGGGTTGCCCGCGCACCGGTTAAAGAAGTAATTGCATTTCATTTTGTGCTAGCCTGTGCGCATTTAGATTTTTGCCATTGGGCATGAGTTAGAGCCTTTGAAGCCTCGAGGCGCTTGGAAATTGGTTTCTTGACTACAGCATTGTAAGGTTGCTTCCATTTTCTTCTTTGAGAATGCACAAAAGATGGAAACTGCTGTATAGCAGTTTCGATTTCCTTCCCAGCATGGAAAAGAACATGGAGACTGCTACACCCTTCCTAAAACCTGGTCCCTTTGATCCTGAACTGCTGCCAAGGACGATTCAAGAGCTGGACGATGCCTGCCCAGCGCGACTTATTCATGGGTTCCCTTACTACCCCCCCTCCTCTATACTACCCTGAGCTTTAGGGTTTAGGGTAGTATAGGGGGGTAGTAAGGGAACCCATGACTTGTGGGGTGTCTGTGAGGGTCAGGCGTTTGAAGAGGATCACTGTGGCACGGCAGTTGCAGTCAGCGCGAATCCGTAATCTGGGTTGCTGTTAAGGAAGCTAAAGTTACTATAAGAAGGAAACCCTATTACTTACCCTATACCCATAATATGGTACTTTAAGCCCTAAACCCTATATACCCTAACCCTCATATACCCACATTAGGGTAACTCGACATACCCATAATATGGTAACTGAATTTAAGTTTCGTAACAGCAACCCAGTACTTCAGTCGGTGAGAGACCTGAGTCCTTTTGACAGGCCATCGCGCGAACTGCTCAGGGAGACGGGGCGCCCAGTCGGAGCTCTTATGCTTGTCTAGGGTTTAGGGTTTCAATGGAAGTCGTGTTTAGTACTGCACCCAGCCTTGCTTGAGAGCACCCTCCAAGGAGCCCAATGTTCTTATCGTGGGCTTCTCCACCACCTGGTTGGGGAGCTCAGTGCTGAGGGTTCAGGGTTTCGGGTTTGGGACCCTGACATGAGTTACAACAGGGTTTAGGGTCCAGGGTCTAGGTGCTATTGGGAGTTTTCTGGTACCTTCTTGGGGTCCCCTAAACCCCAAACCCTAAAACCCTACAACCTAAAACCCTAAAACACCAAAACCCCCAAACCTAACACCCTAAACCCTAGGACGGATTCTCTTATTTTGGTGGTCTCTATTGGGGTTCCCTTATCTGACGGTTCTGGGCGTAGGCAACTGGCAAGGATCCCTTCTCTGACTTTTTTTTTCAGTGAGTATTTGTTTTGTTTAGGGTTTAGGGAATAGGGTTTAAGGAATGGGGCTGAGGGATTAGGGTTTAGGGATTAGGGTTTAGGGTTGGGTCCTTGCTGATCTCAGCAAAGCTCGTGGAGACTTGG